GGCAGGAGCTGGAACTAGAGACGGGAGCTCACTCCGTCATGCGGCACACTTGGGTCTTGAACTGCTGAACTACTGACCTTCCACAGCCTGCAGTTCAGCGTCTTAACCACTTGAGCCACCGCAGCTCCGAAAGCATTGTAGTCTCCAGGAAAATTCTGCATTGACAATTTGTTATACCTGAGAGTGGCAGGCAGCAAAGACTTTACTGGTGATGATACTGCACTGTTTCTGTGACCAGGATTTCCTGTAGGGGTTCTTAGTGCAAGGATCCTTTGTGCATTTGGCATCAGGACACGTGGGAGACACTTTCCAGCTGTTTCCAAACTCCAGGACATCACCTACTACAGACTGACTCCGAGTCGTAAAGTCATTCATTCCATTGCCATCGTAGTTCCCACACAAGCCGCAGACTTGACCCTGGAGAGAGGATCAGACAAAACAATACTGCGTGATGATTGCCCATATTACAAAGAGGCTCGTTTGGAGATCATTACTCCATTGCTGGATAGGATTCCTGGTTGCACAAACAAAGCCAAGCTTGACTGTCTTTTATCTGATAAGAACTCTAAGATCACTTATCAAGTAGCTAGACTTTGTGCATTGATACAGAGGTTACGGAAGCTATCTTTTAAATAGGTTTTAAATGTAAATCTTTTATTTTTGTATATTTTGTAAATTTTGCACTCTGTATGTTTCCAAAAACTACTATAGCTATATATCTGTGGTTGGTCTAGTGACCGTAATAAATTCTACTACTATACTGAGTGATGGATAATTGGCATGAGCGTCTTTGTTTTAGTTTGACTTTTCCTACGCTGCTAATCAGCAGACTGCTAACTCTAAAGATCTTTTAACACAGGACACAATGAGTTCATTCCCCCCCCCCTTCTTTTCAAAACAGAGAACACTAGCTTTGCATGCCTAGAGACAGAGTTTTGTTTTACTCCAATGAAGCTTGCTTTAAATTTTGAATGACAGCAAAATGTGGGATTTTTGTTTTGCATGTCGCTTCTGAGAAGTCTGGTGACTTAACAAGCCACTGCTACCTCTTTATACACCATGTTCCTTTCCCATGTATCATGTTGATAAACAGTGGACAGAAACTGATTAAGCAGACTAGTAAACTTATACTGAAAATATATTTCAGGCCAAGCACATTTACATGCAAGTAAAATCAGGGCCACTAGAACCAGTGAACTTTACATCCAAGTAATGTGCCTTTAAAATGAAGATGTGGAAGAGACATACTTGTGGATACTTATTCTACTATGGAGACAGTTTGATTGAATGGACTAGTCAAAAGCAATCTGTCGTAGCTATCTCTACTGTAGAAGCTGAATGCGTTATCAGCGCAAACTGCCAGCTATGAACTTTACTGAATTATTCATCTACTGAAAGACTTTGGAATAGATGAACCAAAACCAATAATACTGTTTGAAGACAATCAAGCTTGCATCACTATCTGCAAAGGTGAGAGCACCAAACCCAAGAGTATGACCATCGCTCTCAAATGTAACTATGTGAAAGACCTGCAAGACCAAGGACTGATTGAACTCCAATACTGTCCTACTGAGGAGATGATCGCTTTGGCCACCAAATGAGAAGGGAGCACTCACTGGAGAAGACCCTGATGCTGGGAAGGATTGAAGGTCAAAGAAGACGGGGACGGCAAAGGATGAGATGGTTAGACAGTGTCACAGATGCAACGAACATGACATTGAGCAAACTCCAGAGGACGGCGGAAGACCGGAAGGCCTGGCGTGATGTGGTCCATGGGGTCGTGAAAAGTCGGACTCGACTGTGCGACTGAACAACAAAAAATCTAACTTGTAAAGGGCTTCTCACCTTGAAATCAGGGCTCATTTTGATAAATATGCTTGTTTTCTTGTCCCATAAGAGGATCATCCCATTGATGGTCTCAATAACCAAATAGATGCCCATGGAGCGGATTCTGTATGGTAGTTCACCACCACCACCTCTGGTTA